CAATAGAAATACCTAACGAGCTTCCTCCCCCGCCCCCCTCCCCGTTAGAGATCAGAATAAGGAAGGGGCAGGGGTTTACTACCCAATCCACCCCCACCCCATCCAGCCACCCAAATAGGGATGCAGACATAGCGGATGGTCCTTTTCTCCCAGAATACGGACCCTTGAATAGGACCTCCGTTTCAACCCCTCACCCCAAAGACGAACAGTCTGGTAAGAACGTCATTAACTAACTGTAGGTTCATGACCTGAGGCGTGTGGGAGGAACTAACTTCGAGCTGAACAGCCGTGTTTACTCAGTATGATTTTCTTCCCTAGTCGGTAAATTGAGCCCCATTTGGCAGATGGAGCAACTAAGGCTCGGAAACATTAGGTTCTCGCCCAAGGTTAACCAACCTAGGTGGTAAGTTGTGGAGCTGGCCCTTTCCCCTAGACCCGGTCAGCAAACTGCGGCTCGCGAGCCACATGCGGCTCTTTGGCCCCTTGAGTGTGGCTCTTCCTAAGCCTTAGGAGTACCCTAATTAATAGCAATGTACCTACCTATATAGTTTAAGTTTAAAAAATTTGGCTCTCAAAAGAAATTTCAACCTTTGTACTGTTGATATTTGGCTCTGTTGACTAATGAGTTTGCCGACCACTGCCCTAGACCACACTGAAAGTATTAGGAGGTCATTTCATAAGAGGCCACCGTCTTTGCCCCAATTTCCACCAGGGATGCAGATTTCATATCATTGTCCATACCTCCTGCTCTGATCTTCCTAACCTGGGCTGAAGGACAGAGGACTCAGGAAAGGTCTGGGGAAAGGAACCCAAAATGGAGGTAAGAAATAAACTGCTGTTTGGTTCCACTTTTAACTCTGCCTTTCTCCAGGGGACCAAAGGGGTGTGAGCACCCACACAACCAAACCAAATGCCTGTAGCTGTCCATGGCTCCCCAAACGACTATTCCTTTGGTTCATTCTGACTTTGCCACAGCATCTCCTTCCTGTCTTAAAAGGAAATCCTTGTAGAACCCCCACCACTCTCCCTTCATCTTTTTTTGGGGGGGGGGATCTCAAGCAGTCACCTTTTCCTCCCTCTACCTGCCCCACCTTCAACACATTTTTACCAATTTATTAAAACAAAAACAAACCCTGTCACTACCCACTACCCAGTTTAAAGTTTCCCGTCCTTCTGTATCACCGAAGGCAAAAGTCCAAGCTGTGCTTCTTGGCATGGCCAGCAGGGCTCCTGTGCTCTCCCTCTCCATTTGTCCCTTCCAGCTGCAGTGACACTGAAATGGGTTATAGTTTCCTGCACATACTACCTTCTTTGTCCCCAAGATTTTGCTCGGATTGTCTCCTCAGTTCAAAGATATTTTTCCCTTGCCACCCCTAATTCCTACTTTTCTACTAAAGTGTACGGGCATCACCTCTCCCAGAACGTCTTTCCCACCACCCCAGTGCCCTTGTCCATCTTTTTGAGCTCCCAAACCACCCTGGGCCTAGCTGAGCCCTGACACTCACCACATGGCTTTCACCACCTATTGACATATCGGAGTTTGGCATATCTGCAAGTGCCAAACAGAGGACTCTCGCCCAGAAATCAGTACTGTTATGAGGCTGTTTGGAAACCTGATAAAGCAACTATACTAAAGGTCTCGGGCCATCCAGCATGGCTCAGTGGTTGAGCGTCAACCTATGAACCAGGAGGTCATGGTTCGATTCCCGGTCAGAGCACATGCCTGGGTTGCGCACTCCATCCCCAGTGTGGGGCGTGGAGGAGGCAGCTGATCAATGATTCTCTCTCTCATCGATGTTTCTATCTCCCTCTCTGAAATAAATTATATATATAACTAGAGGCCTGATGCACGAAATTTGTGCAAGGGCCTTGGCCCAGGCCCTGGCCCGCTGCAGCCGTGGCTGGGGGCCTCTGCCATGGCCCCGCCCACCACGGCCAGGGGGCCTCTGCCACCTCTGCCTCAGCCCCACCCACTGCGGCTTTGTCTGGAAGGACGTCCGGAAGGACATCCCTCTAATTAGCATATTATGCTTTTATTATATAGATGTTAAAGGGTCTCAGGATCAGAAAGTGGGGAAGCAGAGGCCAGTGAGAACGATTCATGCTGGGGACCAAAGGGGATGATAATCCTCCATCTGGTCAGAAAGACTCTGGCTGAGGCTGATTCTGAGGCTTGAGAAAAGAGAGCAGCTCACTGTTCTTTCCTGGAGATGGCTGGACTTCAGTTGGCCAAACATACAGATCTGGCCTATACACTGACAGGGCTCTCCAGAGACCTAAACCACAATGAGAGGCCCTAAGAATACTGCTTGAAATGGCCCCATCGTAGGCCTATCAAACATCCCCTTCCCCTCAAACAGTAATATGTACTTTCTGGAGCCAGTGGTCAGAAGGAATCATAGCTTCCACCACTATTTTTCAGAAGTGGGGAGAAAAGTTCTAAAACCCGGGGCATCCAGGCAAGTGGAGCATCTTGCCTCCATAACAGCTGGATCTTAGGCAACCAGAACCTCGGAAGGTCTGTACTATGTGGGTGGGCAGCCAGGACACTGGCACAACAGTGAGGGCTGTGGTGAGACCCTGCAGTCAGACGCCGATGTGGGTGGTCCAGGGCAGGAAAGAGAGGCAGGAGGCAGGTGATTTCCTTGAGTGAGAGAGGACCATTCCTCACAGCCACCTAAAAGAGGGTTCCTCCCTCCAACGTGCCTGAACATGCACATACATACATATGCACTCACATGCCTGCACACACACACACACACACACACACACACACACACACTCAACCAATAGAGGTAAGCAATTCTCCCCACCAGCCAGTCCCCCAGGACTTGCCCCTCCCTTTCCTTTTCCTTTCCTTTTTCCTTTTTTCTTTTTCCTTTCCTTTCCTTTCCTTTCCTGATCCAGCCCCAGTGACGTAAATGTTCACTAGCCACTCCAACCTGCCCTCCTTAGTTGTACCTTGAAGGACCCAAAACTTCAAAGCAGGATCAGGAATTTTCCCTCTGCCCTCCCCACAATGCCCATCTTCTTCAAACACAGAAAAGCCAATACAGAGAGTAAAGAGAGACAGGAGACAGAAGCCCTGACACAGGTTTTTCAGTATGCAAGTGTTTTTGACTCCACAGCCAGTTGCTTAAAATGAAACATAAAGGGCAGCCAGAATATACACCCAAATGCAAAAAAAGTAAAGGCAAACAAAATAAACCACAAAATACCATGAACCCCAACAAAACAAAAAAATTAAAACCCA